CAAATCAGTGGAATAAAAATACAAGAAAAAGAAGGGAAAAAAACCTAACCCAATTCTGTGTTTTTGTGATGATGGTGATGATGATGATGATGATGATGATGATGATAATAATAATAATAACAATAATAATAATAATAATAATAATAATAATAATAATAATAATAATAATAATAATAATAATAATAGAGTTGGAAGGGACCTTGGGGGTCATCTAGTCCAACCCCCTGCTCAGGCAGGAAACCCTATACCATTTCAGACAAATGATTGTCCAATCTCTTCTTAAAAACTTCCAGTGTTGGAGCATTCACAACTTCTGGAGGCACGTTGTTCCACTGTTTAACTGTTCTAACTGTCAGGAAAATTCTCCTTAGTTCTAGGTTGCTTCTTTCCTTAGTTTCCAACCATTGCTTCTTGTCCTGCCTTCAGGTGCTTTGTAGAATAGCCTGACTCCCTCTTCTTTGTGGCAACCCCTGAGATATTGGAACATTGCTATCATGTCTCCCCTAATTCTTCTCTTCATTAAACTAGACAGATCCAATTCCAGCAACCGTTCTTTATATGTTTTAGCCTCCAGTCCCTTGATCATCTTTGTTGCTCTTCTTCGCACTCTTTCTAGAGTCTCAACATCTTTTTTACATAGTGATGACCAAAAGTGGATGCAGTATTCCAAGTGTGGCCTTTGTTATTGTTGGTTGCGAAGTCGTGTCCGACCCATCGTGACCCCATGGACAACGTTCCTCCAGGTCTTCCTGTCCTCTACCATCTTCTGGAGTCCATTTAAGTTCACGCCTACTGCTTCAGTGACCCCATCCAGCCACCTCATTCTCTGTCGTCCCCTTCTTCTATTGCCCTCAATCTTTCCCAGCATTAGGCTCTTCTCCAGTGAGTCCTTCCTTCTCATTAGGTGGCCAAAGTACTTGAGTTTCAACTTCAGGATCTGGCCTTCTAAAGAGCAGTCAGGGTTGTTCTCCTCTAGGACTGACCGGTTTGAATGCCTTGCAGTCCAGGGTACTCGCAGGAGTCTTCTCCAGCACCATAGTTCAAAGGCCTCAATTCTTTTGCGCTCAGCCTTTCTTATGGTCCAACTTTCACAGCCATACATTGCAACTGGGAAAACCGTGGCCTTGACTATACGTACTTTTGTTGGCAGGGTGATGTCTCTGCTTTTCAGTATGCTGTCTACATTTGCCATAGCTTTCCTCCCCAGGAGCGTCTTTTAATTTCTTGGTTGCAGTCCCAATCTGTGGTTATCTTGGAGCCCAGGAAGTGGTATTAACACTTCAAGTGTTATATTCATGTATAGTCAGTTTCATATGCTTTTAAAGATCTAAATAATGTTCATTTCTCCTATATGAGTCTTCCTCCTATTTTAAGTCATTTATTGAATTTCCTACCTTGAGGCAGTAGGTATTGCAGACATACAAATGGACCAGGTGAAAATTTAAATGTCAAGAGTAATCCAAATTAAAGTAAAATAATTGTTCCCACTTCTATAAGCCTTTCTTAGGAAGAATTAGTGTATACATAAAGTTCATATTTTTTATTAACTTTGTTTTTGCAGTTTTTTCCTTTCTTTGTCTTTCCAATTTCTGGGTATTAAAATTAATTTTAATATTAACATTAAAATAAATTAATTCCATATGTAATAAGGTACTGTGCTATTGCTCTCTGACATCAGAGGCAAATAACATACAAAGGTATATATGCTAGTTATATATTAATTACTATATATTGATTTGGATGAAAAGCAAACCGAAAGAACAAGTCACCTCTTAAGAAAATACTAATACATTATATTAAACGTGATGGAACGTATTTTCAGCAACAAACAAGGTCAAGCATATCTTCTTTACCAGAAGATATTAAAGCAGATTTTATGATGTCAGAATCAATGAAAGATATATCCATAGCCCTGATGTATATATTGCTCTGACAATTTCAGTCAGGAAGTAGAATGTTAGGAATGTGAGAAATTATCCAATTGTATGCTTGAAGTTTTGCCCATTTGCTTGATGTCCTACTGATATTAAATTAGACAGAGTGAGACCTCGCTTTTCAATATCTTTTAGTGACCATAAATTATATGCTATCTAAATGGTCCAACTTTCCTGTTCAGATGTACAGGAGAAAGGAGACTCAGAAAGTTGTGTTACATTCCCTAACAAACATATCCCAATCAAGTATAACATTTTAGTTTTCTTCCAATCTTACAAGCAAACAGAATGGCTAGGAAATGTATCCAAGATTAACATGTAAAGATCCAAAATCATATTATAAATCTTAGGGGAAAAAATCATATTTAATATAACATTTAACAACAGAATATACAAGTCCTGATTTTATCTCTGAAGAATGCTCTCAGCAAACATTATTACTTTGTGAGTTATTTCAGTTTTAGGTAGCCCAACTATGAATGACACTGGGGGCTAGCCATACAACAATATAAAAACATTAAATAAACAAGAACAATTCCAGACTCAGACCCAAAAAAAAAAGGAAGAAGAGCAAATGGCAAGCCTCACACACACAAACACACAGAGGGAAGGAGGGAGGGAGGGAGGGAGGGAGAGATTGAGAGAGATTGAGATAAAGAGAGAGAGAGAGAGAGAGAGAGAGAGAGAGAGAGAGAGAGAGAGAGAGAGAAATTGACCTTGAACAAGTGGGCTCCAAGCATTTTAGCCCTGGCCTGGAGGACAGGTTCAATTATATTTTTTTTAAAAAGGCAACACCTTAAGTACATTTGCGCACAGGTGAAAATAACTACTTTGATTTTAAGACTAAATCAAACTGAAAATTATGTCACTAATTTTAGACCAAATATGATATTGGAAAAGTCGAAGCAAACAGTGTTATTCAATAGATCTTACTATCTAGTAATATGAAGAAAATCTGTTTTCAGTTATATGATTTTTCTTAACAACTTCTCTTTCGTGGTCAGGTTTTTGTTTTATTTTTATTTTTTTTTAAAAAAAACCTTCCATCTTTATTTTGCCTCTGGGCTCCCAGAGTCTGTTATATTCAAGAGTAAGTTTAAGGATGCGAAAGCTCAAGGAGCAAGGGTGAAAAAAGAATGGGCAGTCATTTGAATCAGTGAGTGACAGGTTGGACCAGCTCTCTGTATACATTAATAAATTAGAATTTTAATTGTGCCTCCGACTGCAGAAGCAGCTCCACTACTTTAATATGTACCAACAATTGGCTATGCTATGGAATCTGTGATGTGGCCCTCACTGTTGACCTCTGAAACACAATTCCCACTCTGACTACGGAAACTGTTTGGTTTGATCCTTTCAACTTATTTGAATCCTGACAAATAAGCTCATAGCTGAAAGGTCAACATAGTCATATTTCATCCTCTGGAGCAATTCTTAAGACATCTGCACAACAAAGCACTTCTTCTAGTACCTGACATTGGGCCTTGCCAGCACACTATCTCATTAAAATGTCTCCAGTAGAAGCGTCTATTAAAAGGCAAATGGATAAGATATGGATTGGCCAAACAACGCTTTTTTCCCTGAGATTTTAGCAAAAGAGCATGGATTCAGCGTCCATAACAATGGTTTTCAACACGCATTTGCCAAGAAGCAAAACAGTTATTCCTTTCCAAATACAATAAACCAAAGGATGGAGTAATACAGGGTCAAACTGGATCTTATACCCATGGATTCTAAACAACCCTCTAAATATTGGCTACTTCCTGGTTGTTAGCCGACAACCTACTCTTCCAGTTTCATCAACCATGCAATTAATCAGTGTATGGAATGTATGTGCTGAGCTTTGAATATATATTTTTGAGGAAAACAGTACTAAAAGCAATAATGCACTTCATGTCATTTTGGTGAGAAATTTTGACTATAATCCAAAAATATGTGAGCAGAGGAGACTTCAAGGAAGGAAAGTTTCTGAATAATGTCATACCAAGCACAGAAGATCACATTATCTAACTTTTCCCCCCATAAGCCTGGGTACCTAATCTCACATGTTTTGAAGGGACTCTAGAGTGAACTGCACAGAGATTATTGGAATCTTTGTTGTCACTGGATACATCTAATATTTATAAACAAAAGCAGCACATTTCATATAAAGAACCTGTTAGTAATACCAAAACAAACTCAATTGACTAAGCCAATTTCAACTAACATCACTCATCTTTCCTCGAAAATGTAAACCGAAACAGCAAATCTAATGCAGCTATCTTTTTTGAACCAACATAATATCGTACTGGCCCATAAAGTGATCTACAACAATATGGAATTAAACAATTAAAATGGTTTCTTACAAAGACTGCTCAACAGATATTGAGTATTCAACTGAAAATATATAATTTTCACAAACATAATAAATATTGGGAAGTTTCTAGATAAAAACATCATCTCACTAGAAAACTGTCTCGTGTGTTTAAAATAGCATTTCACAATGCTGTTTCAAAACAACAAGAGTTCCTGGATTATGGTTTGTCATATGCCCTTATTTCAAACATTCTCTATTCTTTCCAAATCTTTTACTTAAAGAACAATTAATACCCCCTTTTCAGAATATCACATATCAATGGTGTATGATGCATGGTCTCTGAGAAATGATCTCTTTTTATGATCTCCTCCATAGGAAGCTGCCTTATTCTGATTCAGACCATATAATCATTTATTGTTTTCTATATTATCTGACAGAGACTCTTTAAGATTTCAAAGAGTGGTGATGTTCAGCTTTACATGGAAATGTAAAGAACAGAATCCTGTACCTGCCTGAATCTTTCAAAGTTCTTTTCATATTCCTCACAAGTTCTTTAGTTTATTGATGAAAAATTCAAGACTATGCAGCACTGATCCATTTCCACCACCATAATAATGCTACCAAACATGTTTGAGTAAATATCAATAAAAGCAAAGTAATCCATTTTTTTTTTAAAAAAATCATCTTCCCGTTATTTATACTATTTGCATCCTTTTAACATATATTATTCAAGCAAATCAAAACTTTTTTTAAAAGAAAATATTTCTTACCTGAAGGGCTGGCTGTTTGTCATTCCTCTTGGGAGACTTTAGCCCACTAACTTGTTGTTGCTGCTGTTGTTGCTGCTGCTGTTGTTGCTGTAACAGAAGTTGTCTTGCTACCTGGAGAGCCTGAGGAAAAATATAAAATAAATTAGTTCCATCTAACTTAATTTAATGAAATGCTTGTTTCCTGCTTGAGCAGGTGGTTGAATTAGAAGACCTTCAAGGTCCCTTCCAATTCTGTTATTCTGTTCATAACAGGCCAGGCTTGGCTAAAATAGGGTGGACTATTTTTTTTTCTGATAGATCATGCTGGGTGAACCCAGCCAGTGTCTTATCATGTTAAATGAAAAGGACTTCACATGAAGTCTTCATAAATCTATGAACACAGCAACTATGTTTTATTAACCTGGTTTTTGGTTTGAGATGCTATGTGAATACAGCTGTTATGTACATGTCCTAAAGCAGGGGTCTTCAAACTTGGCCCTTTTATGACTTGTGGAGTTCAACTCCCAGCGTGCCTGGCTGAGGAATTCTGGGAGTTGAAGTTCACAAGTCATAAAAGGGCCAAGTTTGAAGACCCTTGTCTTAAAGAGAACCAAATCTAAGAAGCACCACTGGACTGACCCAGCAGTTACTGTCTTTTTGGAGGACAGGAGTAATCTATGGAATAAGTTGTTTTTTATTTTTTTTATACTAGCGATATACAAACAATAACACTAACAGGAAAAAACAGTAGTGGTGGTCAGAAAAGAACCTACATAAATTGTGATGATTAAAATAAATTAAAACACAGCCAAAAGGAAAGAACAGAAATCCCCCCCCCAAAAAAACCTAATGAAAGAAAAAAAGAAAAGATATAGTATTCATTTAATATCAACACATAATTAACCCATCAAAATTACTCAATAAAATTCCAACAGGAGTATAGCAAAGCCAAAACACCTGAATTGTAATGATGATCTCAATGAACTCTCAACGCTATTGTCCCATTGTTCAAAGAATTCAGTATTATCCTAATGTACTGAAAAAAATGGAGTGGAGTTTTTATAATCAGCATGTCAGTTGACTTCTATATATAGTCATTCTAAATTCTGATGAGAAGAATCAGTTTATGTAGAAGACAGTTGTTGGTGAGACCATTTTGTCACCGTTTCACATTATAACAAGACATCAATAGCCTCCTTTTAAAGCCATCTCAAAGAATATAAATGCAATATCTCGCAGAGAAACAGACATTTAAAATAACAGTATCACTGTTCCTTGGCAAACTCTGGAAAGTTCTGTTAGGCCATGTTCATACATTCCATTTCTTCCTGATCTCCAGGAAGAGATTAGGAGGTGATCTCAGGCTCATATTTTCTCACATTTATCCTTCTTGATTTGCCCTTACTTTGTCTGTCTTAAGGAGAAATAAATAAATGAACAGGAAATCCTGTATTTCTATGGACACTGGACTCCCTTTAACATAAAAAAAAATAAACTTTAATTCTTTTACTAGAGTTAGACAATAATTGCATATCAATGCTATTGGCTTTTGCCCGTGCTGTTAATGAGGCTATTGGCCTTGTTGTTTCAAATAACCTCATATTCATTTACATATTTAAGTAAAGTCTGTTAAACAGTGACTTCTGCTGTTCAGTATTCGACCCAGTCTTTGACTGTTATGAAAACATCAGCTAACAACACAACTACTAGCTTTACAATTCAAACAAGAACTGGAATGTTATACATTCAAGGTCCCTGCGCTAGTTTCAAGGGGGATAATGCACCCCCATGTGATAAATCAGCAATAGCTGGATCTAAGAAACAGTGGCAAGGGAAACTATAAAAGGAATTGGGACGCCAGTGCCACAGCTGAAGATACATTTGGAATTTTTGAGTATGTAGCAGGTGATAAAACCTGGAGACTGGGGAAAAGAACAAAGAGATTCATGAAGTGTATTCCTATGCAGCTCACTCCAAGGAAGCTAAAGGACTCACCAACATTTCAGATATGAAGGAGAAAGCCTGCCTGTAGGAGCCAGAAGGAAATTAATGCCTGTAAGAGGACAGCTGGAAGCTTACATGCCTCAAGGACGTGTCCCCTGCTTGCTGCCTCATTGGAGGATTCACCATTGCTGGACTCAAGGGTTTCCTGGTCTCCTTGGAGATGTTCAGTACATGCGTAGGTGTTAACAGTGGGAAGAGTAAAGACTTCATCAATGTAAAAGAAGAAAGAAATAGTCCTGTGCAAGATGCCTACATGGAAACAGGGAGGAAAGCATTCTTCAGCATATGTTCACTGAGATGCTAAAGCTGAAACTGATTACATGATACTCTTGAATTTATTTAGTTCCATAGGCTGGAAAATATGATAAACTATTAATTAAAAAAGAAGAGTGACCAGTAACTACAATAAGCAAAGGAAGTCTCATATTTCTTAGCAAAGATCCAGACTGTTCTGCTTCTATTTCTACTTTGATACACTACTCTAAAAGACACTATAAATATCTGAACAAAGAAAATTTTCAGTATGAAAAATAGTATCTACCTGGCATGAAAGAAGCACTGTCATGAGTAATTTTAGTCTCAGATCCATACACGGATACAGAATAACAGATTCAGTGAAATGTAAACTCTAATGACATACCTGTAACATTCCTTGGCATCCACATTTATATTTTATTTTGGTTCATTATCAAACAAAGATCCTAAAAAGTACAATGTCATTTCCCCAACCTCCTGCCTTCGAGATAAACTGGACTACAATTCTCAAGATGCCAGCCAAGATGGCCCCAGGTCATGCTTGCTGGGGGAATGATGGGAGTTGTAAAGAAACAAACACTGCACATTGTATAACCTAGTGTATTCAGATGGTGAAGCCAAAAGGGGGAAAACAGATGCTCAAAAATAAAAGTAAAGGAATGGGTGGTAATTTTTGTTAAGTTTTTAAATTCTGAGCTGATGTGGTTTAGTAGCATTCATTGCATATCCCTTTTGGTACTTTGCATGGGTTCCAAGATACTGCAGGCACTTTCACAGTCAGGACTTCTGGTATTTAGAGCCACTGAATATATAATTAAATTAAACCACAGAGAGCTGATAACACCTCACCAAAGCACAAGAAGAGGATAATATCCTTTCTCTATGTTAAACTTAATGTTGGTAGAAAAGACTGTGGACTGCTAATAGTAACCTTTATTACAAGGTCAACCCATGTCATCTATTCAATTGTTCAGTTTAACTCTCACCTTCTCCAGCTGCTTCGGAGAGTCTCAGCTCACCCTTGACCCAAAATCCAACTGCTTGCCCTGTAATTCTAAAGGCTAATCAACAGTTATTACTTCTCTGGAGCTAGACAAGAAAGAAGAAGAGCACTGAAAAGAAAGCAAGTTGGCTAGCATAGGGCTTGTCTGCCTACCCTCCCATCCTCTAGGATTGCATGCGACTTTAGAGAATCTTTATGAAATTAGCTGTCAGTTCTCCATTCAATCTTAATGGTCACCAATTCTTATTATGCTGACTTCTGTTCTCTAATGCAGCTTGTCAACCATTGCTTAAGAGATTTTAAGTAAGCTTTCCATTTCTTTTAGCACATAAACTGTAGATGAGAAATGAGGGCACGTTTTTGGTCACCGTAATTTTTTAATAGACTAGGATAATACAATCTATTCAAAAGAATGCCTTCTTTTTTAAAAAAAAAAGTTGACAGGCTTTTATGAATCTTCACGGCTATAAACATTCACCATGGAATGGCATGGATAAACTATTCTGTGAATGAGTAGGTAGATACATTTGTAAAGAAGCAAGTCTGTTAGTACTATGTTGACAAGTATAATATATCTAAAATCCTCTTTTTGTACATAAAAATTCAACAAGTCAATCTTTTTGACATCTGTTTTCTTTTATCTACTGAATGTCACAAATAACTCACTTCACCAGCAGGGTCTTACAGCGGAATATGAACTTGTGAGGTAAACATAGTGCAAGGACCAATTAGCAAGTAGAAAAGAAATATTCCTTTTCGTTTAACAACTAGGGAAGACAAAAATAGTTCAGTGAAACTAGGTTCTGGAGGAGTCGGAAAAGGAAAATAATTGATGTTAATAAAACAATGGTGGTGTGAAGAAAAAGAGAAGTTTCTTTCTCTCTCTTTAACGATAGGTGAAGTCATCCAATAACTAACTGACAAACTAACTATATTTCAATGGGTGAAAATGGTTTCTAGTCTTTTTAAAAGAAGATTAGATAAGTCTCAGATATTAATCTTTGCAGCTACATGAAGTATATTGTTTATAAAACTCCAGTTTTATAAACAGTATACCACTGAATATAAGTTGCTAGGAGACAAAAGTAGGGCAAGGCAATCAGTTCCCCTCTTATGCTTTCCTACTGTTGTTGCCATTTTAAGGGCTTCAGGTTTGCCAATAAGACAAACTGGATGTTGTATGAGATGGATCTGATCCACAAATTATGATAAAGTGACATAATTTACACAGTGACAAAGCTGTCCCAATAAAAGAGTCATTCTCTGTCTCATAGTACAGGAGACCATAATGAAAGCTAAGATATTCTACAAAGCTCCTTGGCCCAGACTAGCATTACTGAGGCTTCATAGCAATAAAGTAGTCCTTGACTTATAATTGAAGTTACAACAGTGCTGGAAAAAAATTACTTATAACTAATGCAGTGTTCCTGCAGTTATGTGATCAAAATGTGGTGGTTATTAAAAAGAGTTGCACAAGGTTGCACTTATTTTTGGAAATAAAGATGGTATCCTTTTTCTCTGAATAACAAAGCTGCCAATGTTCAAAGTAATGTGGAGGTGTCTATAGAGACTGCTTCTTCCCAGCATTTCCTGGAATGACTGTTATTAGATGATGCTGTATGGGTCACACTGTCAGTCCAGAAATTCATACAAAAGAGACACACAGCCTCTGTGAAGAGCTTATACTGCTTTCAGTAGGTAGGTCATTTTTGTAATGAACAGCTGTAAAAGCTATGAATTCTGCCTACCTCATATATATTAAAAATAAATCGAATGTTTTCAGAAGGAAGAATGAATACTAGCTGGACTTTATTCCTGCTGTTCTTTCACCCTTTATATAGCACATGTTAAAGAAATCTGTTCCCAGCAGGATCCATGG